GGCCCACGGCCCCTGCCATGGCTTTGTCCGAGGGGGCCATGTGCCCCCTGCCTGCGGGCAGGGGACCCCCGGCCGGGCAGCCCCGTGGCTGGAGGGAACGGGTGCTCTCTGGCTGCAGCTGTCTCACCCCGGCTGGGCTGCAGCGAACACCCCGTGCCCTCACGCCGGGCTGGGGGAGGCCGGAGGGGTGACTTTGAAACTCTGCCCTGACAGGTTGAGGCATTAGTAAAGCATCTCCCACTGTGGCCTGCTGCTGGGAGCTGGGAGTGTTGGCCCCTGCAGCTGCACAGGTAATTACAGCTCTGAGTGGGAGCCTGCACCCGCAGATTCCTCATCCAGACTCCATGCCTGCATCTCCTTGTAAGCCTTGTGCGATGGCTTTACGCCTGGATCTAGCTTTTGTTCTTCTGCGGCCTGCTGTGGGCCACGGCCGTGATGAAGTGCTGTTACGATGGACTGTTGGTGTGCTTGGATTTCGTAACGCTGTCCTGAAGGCAGCCAGCCGTGGAGATGCTTGCTCGAGGTCTCAGGTGTTCTTGCTGGTTCAAAGAACCACAGAAAGGTTTGGGCTGGAAGGGACCTTCAAGCCCACCCAGCCCCACCCCCTGCCATGGGCTGGGACACCTTCCACTAGCCCAGGTTGCTCCAAGCCTCATCCAGCCTGGCCTTGGACACTCCCAGGGATGGGGCATCCACAGCTTCTCTGGGCAACCTGTCCCAGTGCCTCACCACCCTCTCCGGGAAGAATTCCTTCCTGATGTCCCATCTCCATCTCCCTCTTTCAGTTTAAACCCGTTACCCCTTGTCCTGTCACTACAGACCCTGGTAAAAAGTCCCACCCAGGTTTCTTGTAGGCCCCAAGTTTGCAAGGCTGGTGCCCCCCAAGCTGAGGTCTCTGGTCGTTTTGGCTCTGGACAGGCTGGTGCTGTTTGCTTCTGAATATTAAGGACAAGTAGATAGGACAGTGCAGCTCTCCCCTGGTCACAGTGAAGCCCCCGTGGGTGCTGGGACAGGACGCTGAGGGGTTCGGATGGTGACCTGCCTTTCTGTGTCTCTGTAGGCCCCGGGCCCAACGTGCCCCCGGTGTATGGCTTGGAGGTGTCTGATCTCTTGCGGTGGGAGGAGGATGTGCTGAAACCTGCTCTGGAGATCGTGGAGAGCTTCATCCAGGTACCGGGTAACTGGAGTTAACGCGTGAGCCGTGGCTGAGAAGCCAACTTCTCGGTTGTCTCCAGGTCCCATAACTTGGCACTTAGTCTCTCCCATGGGCAGAGCTGTCTGTATACGTGTCCAGCCTTGGGATTTCCTCGCAGTGGCAGGGGGTTGTTGTCTAAGCTGAAGATTTCTCCTAACGCGCAGCACTCGGCTTGTCTTGCGTGGTAAAACGTCTGTGCTGTGAGCCTTCGTGTCTGGGTCCGGCAGGTCCAGAGCGCAGACTCTACCGAAGTGAGGGCAGCCGAGCAGATTTTCGTAGTAGGAACCAATTTGAGGCATTATTTCCTCTACAGGGACGTGAGCCCCCAGCAGAGCCCGTGAAGGTGCAGTACGATGCAGGCGAGAACAAACGGCGTCGGCGCGTGTGTGAGCTCTGCGACAGAGTCATCATCGGGGACAGGGAGTGGGCAGGTAGGATCCGGCACGGGCGAGGGGAGAGGGCCTGGGAGGGGGCGCAGCGCGTGGTTACGCCGAGGACGGGACGAGGCAGCTCTCCGGAGCGGAGCAGCTTCCTTGGCTGCCTCTGCTTGGCCGATGACCCTCAGCACATGATCTCGGGCTTTCAGGGATTGTTTACAGCCCGTCTATGAAAGCAGCCATTTGCAAGCCCAGGGGGGGTGCAGGAGCTGTGCCACAGCAGCCATCTGTCAGGGTGGGTGTCCCCCCCCCTTCCCCAGCACCCAGTAAACACCGCCGCTCTCTGCCGTCACGCCAGACGTGGGGATCCAACCCCGGAGCTGTCTGTGTTTGGTCAGGGCTGTTGGTCCTTTTCAGCACTTGAGATACTTTGTCAGAAACCACAGGACAAACTCGTTCATTTTTATTTGTTGTGCAAAATGAAAAGTTCCTTAGTGTTTTTAATCGCTCAGTTGTGCTCCAGTATTTCCCGTTTATGTGTTTTGTTTTTTTTTTTTTTTTAAATTAAAAAGTATTCCAGCTGTAATGGTAATAGAAAGGGATTTTCTGTTTTCAATAGACTTACTTTAAAAGAGCTCAGTTGGGATCAGATTAACTCGGTGTATTTATCTGTGCTGTGAGGCTCATGCTGAGAACCAGAAAGAAAAAGTAGGGGAGAAACTGGCTGCAGAAATGAAACTGATAAATCTCCGTGTGTTGCCCAAATGCAATATATGCAGACACAATGTAAAGAGAAATTTCCCAGGTCCTTGGTCATTGGATTTGAACAAGTCGCTTATTCCCGTTGATCCAGGGAACTGCTGAAAGCAAAGGCAGAAGTTGGCTCAGAAGAGGAAGCTCATTGTAGTGAGATCAGTTTGTCTGTAGGTGTTATTATAGCCAGTCTCAGAGCAGCTTTGAAGAAGCTCTACCTACTCCAGAACTGGAGGAGTCTGAAAGTTATCAGGGTCTGTACCATCCTTCCAGGTCCAACGAGTTTTATGACTGGGTGAGAACTCCTCACGATGCCCCAAACACTACAGCCTAAACTACGTGTCCTCTAGGAATGTCACCCCAAATGCTGATCGAGGGTGACAGTACCTTTCTCAACCCACACCAGCTGTTCTCTGCATCCAGCTGAATTTGTCTCAGATCCCCAGATGGTGGGAGAAATGGTCCAAACCCTTGGGTGTTACTTGTAACTGCTCACAGGGAAGCACCAACAGCAGTGGGAGCTGATTCGATCAGCAATCTGGTGCGTGTTCTTAAGTTACAGATAGTCTGGGAATGGCTTCCCTGTGCCCCACTGGGAAACCTTTTAAAATTTTATCTAATTTTGCAATTTGTACGGCCTTAAAAGCGTCCACCTCCCCAGACAGCAGCAGCACTCAATGCTTCCTCCAGCCACCCCGACGCTTTGGTGTTGCTTACGACAAACTGTAAGAGGTGAGACTTTATTTCAAGCTGAGGGTGACCCTACAGCATTGTGATAAAGCAGCAGCTTTGCATGTCAGTTCATCCTTTGGCACAAAAAGATGACTGGCAAACACCCGAGGGCCTTGATTCAGTGAGCACATACCCTTGTTTAATTAAGGCCCTGCTTGAAAAGTTTGCTGCTTTAATTGCTGCTCTGATCTCTTGGAAATAGCAAAACCGCCCTGCTCAGGTGGTACATTGGTCTGGTTAGACAAAGTGTCTTCTACTTAGATAATACCACTGATGGAGGAGGTTTTACTGTCCTTAACTACGCGATTTCAGACTGAAATGCAGCTCCTGCTGCCCTGCTGGGTCAGTACAAGTCGCATCCCTGGGATTACTGCTTCTGTTCCCATCCGGCTCCTGCCAAAGTGCTCCCGTAGCCGGGGGCCTTGCCCTGGAGTTATGCAGAAGCACAACTGTGCTCCGGGCTGCGTCCCTGTCTGCTCTGTAGATGTACAGGGTGTCCCCGGCGCTGCACTGCAGGCAACTGGGCTCACAGATGATCCTGGCAGCGCTCCGAGGGGTGGCGGGTAGTTGCACAACCTCGCCTGCATCCTGCAGCCTGCCGCCTCGTTGGTAACGCTTCCCTTTCTCCTGTCCTCCCGGCGACGGGTCTCGGTTGGGAGCAGACTTGCTGGGAGAGTTGAATCCTGACAACCTGGAGTCTTCTGCATATACAGAGCCAGGGTTTTTTTTCCCTCTCCCAGTCCTGCAGTCAGGAGAAGGCTTGGGAGGGTTGTCCCCATAGTTTGGCCTAGAAGTGTCCTGAGAAATGGCCAGGACTGGGTTTGGGATTCACTTTTCTGCGGGAATGAACTGTGTGGGAGGATGGGAAGGGAGGGTGCTCCACACTGCACGGGGGGTGGGTCGGGCATTTCCTCCTCCGACTTCACCAGAGTTAAATGCTCTGTTTGCCTCTTCCTCCAGCTCACACACGCTCCAAATCCCACCTGCACCATCTGAAGAAGAGGAGGAAGCTGGAGGCTGCCAGCCGTGCTGCGGAGGCTGAGGGGGACAGCGGGGGCACAGAGACCTCGGGCGAGGAGGGCAGCCTGCCTTTGCCGTAGGCCTGCGGAGCAGCTGGCGAAGGGGAGCAGCCGCACTTCCACCTGCACAGCGAGGAAGTGACATACGCCCGGGTGGCCTTGAACTGAAGGAGCTGAGTAATTTTTTTCGGGACGAGGCAGGTGCGTAAGTGATGGCCAAAGGCCGTCGGCGGCATCCGAACCTCTTCATGTGGCCTCATCGCGCCTTGTTCCCATGCTTCTCCAGCCCTGCCTGCAAAGGGCCGGGCCCCGTGGCAAGGCTGCTAGGAGCATGCTCCCATGCCAAGCCTTAATTCCTGCCAGAGACGCAGCATTATCCTTGGAAAGGTTGAGCCGATCCTGCTGGCATGCGAACCTGTCGTGCTCAGAGACAAAAGTACCCTGCGCTCCTGCAGCTCGGCCGGGAACGCAGCACCGGAGCCGAGCGAGCTCTCGCTGCCTTTATTGCGGAGAGGGGATTTTTATCTTTCCTTTATATGGAAATAAAGTTGTACGATTATTGCGGGTTCCCCTCCCCAGTAACAAGCGTGGTTTTCTTGTTCTCTCTCCCCACCTGGCCCAGGTTCCCTGCTCTGGGCACGGGGCAGGACGCCCAGGCCTAGTTCCTTCTTCCCGTCACCTTTTCTGCAGCTTCCGAGGGAGCCGAGCAGATGTTCTCGGCGGGAAGGGGGGGCAGGCTGGTCCCTGCGCACAGCAGGTGCCGAAGGAGCTGGCACCTGTCAAACAGGAACTTGGAAATGATCTCATCAGGTTTACAACAGATGAGTCTGCCCTAGTTAAAGCTGAATTCCCGGGGCTTTACGCTGCGGTTTGGCAGTGGGAACCGGCTCGGCATTTGAATCCGAGTTGCTGAGCAGCAAATTCCTTGTGCGGAGTCAGCGAGGCAGTTGGTCTCCACAGCATCATTCCTGGGGGATGCGAGCGCCGTCTGCGCCGCTGCGCTTCCCGGCGTCCGCTCCAGCTGGAACCGGGAGGGCCTTTTCCGGGGCGTTGGGGATTCTCCCGGCAAATGCAATCGAGAGGGTTCCTCCTGGGAGGGTTTTGGGGTGGTAGAACACAGTTTGTTCCTTCGGTGCTTGTGCTACACCACGTGGCAAGAGGCGTCTCTCGGGGCTCAGCCTGCGCGGGCAGATGGGCCGCCACAGG